TAAATGCCATTATCAATGAGAAATATGAACTGAAAATTCTAATTTCAAGAGATATGACATATGAAGTTGTATGGTTTACTGGTAATAATCTTAACAAGAAAAATGTATATGTTGAGAATTAATAGTGTAGAACTTATAAGGAAGACTAGAAAAAAACATCAACATTTTGTTAACACGTTCAGATAGAGATTTTATTATTTGTGAAAACTACCATACAGCTTTCAATACACTATTACCACAGTGTAGGTTTTTCTGGATTTTTCATTAACTTTGTATGTTGTCACTATCAAACACAAACTCATGCAAAGCTCTTTTTCTCTCTTTTAGATTATTTCAGCAGCAGTTAAAAGATTTGATATTACAGGTGTGGACTACTGTTATGTGAATAATGCCTTGGCCATCTGTAAAAAGAAAGATGCTGATGACTGAGGATGAAATAAATGCCACTAAGGCTTAAATTTATCTCATAATTAAACTGAACTTCTATATATACTAACCTGTTGATGGCTTCTAAGTTACATAACCGTATTTGCTATTTCATACAGGCCATCCATTCAGAGCATACAGTTGAATTACTATTAATGTATCTGTCTCTTAATGCTAAGAAGTGATCTGATATAATTAAACTCTTATTTTAATCTAAAATTGAGATCTGAATGAGTTGTTGTAAAGTAGTTGATATATATTTTTCAAAAACATTTACATATGATTGTACTATTACCAGTAATGGGTATTGTTATCACTTTTACTCAGAAGACATGTTATTCTCTAGACACAATTCAGATCCCTTAGGCAGAATCAAACTGAAATTAGTGAAAACAGCCCTAGCACAGGATATACCATTATGTATTCCCTGCAGCATGGATATATAATAAAGCGTTCCGCTAATGAAAGGAATTTCATTTTAACCATTCTATCATCTATAATGCTCCACAATGCTTATACAGCTTTTAAATCAGCTTTGATTTCTTCTGGCATAATGTACACTAATACATGTTCAGAGGCCTATGTAAATTAACTAAAACTATTAAAAATAAACTCCAAATTAATAAGAATTAAAACATTAAACTATTAATTTATTGCTGAAAGTTAAATAGTAACTAGTCAGCCTCTGAAGGTTGGCAGAAAAAATTCTGAGAAATACTGTGTAGTAAATTTAATTCAACCCTGGAAAGAAAGAAAACTGGAGTTATAAAGAATAATCCAGATCTTATTGAAAAATGCTAGGGCTATATTATCCAATAGCAATTCAATAGTTGTATCATAATATGTAAGTAGTAAAACATTTATTTGATTTGTTCAGTTAGTGTTCTTTATGTCTTTCAGTTAAAACCTGGATATTCTAATACTTACTTTTAGCATTAAGCCACACATGCTGAAAATCATTCCTAGCAAATTCATATAATCTGGTGTAGGATCTTCCAAAGTAGGGTTGTTTTCTGTAGTTGGAGGCTTGTATCTGCAAATAAAAATTCATTTCTAGCTACAATTTTGAACTGATGAGCAAAACATAAACTCTACTTTCCCTGCAAAAAATAAAATTTTCATACAAGTTCAAAGTCAACAGCTTGAAAAAAGAAATGGCATCAATGTTCAGTATTTTCTCCCCAAGCTATACTTCAGCACACTGCAGAAAGCTCTCTAAATTTTAAAGAATAATAATAATAAAGACCAAACAATAGGAGAAGAGTCTTGTTTTAATATGGACAAGAAAGAAAAGCAGGATTATGAATTAAGCTCTGTAAGTTAAACTCTATAACATTTGTATACAGGTAGCTTTTGTTTGACAGCCAGTTGGATGTACTAATTAAGGTATCAGGCTAGAAACCATGACTTCTGGTCCTGCCTTAGGCATAAAGCCAGCTGGGTGACCTTGGGCTAGACATTTTTCTTAACTCTAAGAAGGAGGCAATGGCAAACCACTCCTGAAAATCCTTGCCAAGAAAACTGCAGGAAGTTTTCCAGGCAGTTGCTGAAAACTAAACATGATTGAATGGAAGGAAGAAAGAAAAAGAAGTTCTCATTTAGTGATTGCCTTGGCTAGTGACCATCATAGTTACGACAGTGATGAAAAAGTAACTGTACAACTAATCCTCCCATTTATGAGTCTCACAGGTCTGTAAATAAAGGAAAGCTGGAGCAAGAACATAAACACAGTTGCAGTTTCACTTAGTGACCACTTCCCTTAATGATAGACTTGCTGGTCCCAGTTCTGGTTGCTAAAGTGTCATCTGGCATATTAAATAATATAATAAAAACTATGTTACGAATCATTGATTAACCGTTCGATATGTAAAGCTCACACAGGTAGCACTTGGATTAAGACAGCAATTAGGCCCCCAATTACCTTCACTAAGGGTTGTGGATGTAAAACATGACATCACCAGATTGCATTGTTTAATGATGGCAATCCTGGCAGTTTCCGGTTTCTGTTGTAACCCCTGGAGTGGGAAGAGATAAGAGTCCCAAGTAAGGAGTACAGGAGGAATTGTGCAGGTGCCACGGGGACACTGTGGGCACTAGCAAGCACAGGCTGTGGGCCTCAGAGGCTGAGGAGGGCCAGCAAAGGCACTGCAGACAGGCATGAGCAACAGAGTGCAGGTGGGGGGGATTACTATAGAGCATGGGTGTCAAACTCGCAGCATTACATGACGTGTCGCAACGTATCGTGACTTTTTGTCCATTGCCAGCAATGGGGTTGGCGCGGTTTCGCCTTGATGCATCCAGGCCACGGGCTGGCAGTTTGACACCCCTACTATAGAGTATGAGATCTCTGGGGTCTTATACTCCGTAATGAGCTCCTCTGGAAAAAATGACCTTCTGGGTGACTTGCAACCTTCCCTGCCAGTTTTCCCATTGACTTTGTTTGTGCAAAACTGGCATGAAAGGCCGCAAATGGCAATCACATGATGTGCCTTGCTGTGATGTCATAATTGTGAGCTGGGCACCCAAGCTCCTAGATCGTTATCAGACAACCACAGGGATGCTGCAAGAGATGGAACTTCAAGCACTGATTGTAAGCCCGTAGTTTCGGTGGATTCAGCACTACTGTATCTTTGAATGGTTAATGAACACATGAATGTAAGCCAAGTACTATCTGTGTAGGCAAAGCTAACAACTGGAACTTCAAGGGCTGGTTGTAAGCTTATGGTGCAGTTTTTCAGTATCATTGCAACTTCGAATGGTCACTGAATGAATGGACATAAAGCAAGGACTATCCACGTAGGCAAAACAAACATTTAAGAGTTAGAAATCAAGATTAATTATCTCTTTTTATTGGGTTCCCTTGACCAAAGGGGCTTCCTTAAGTAAAAACCATGCAAAAGATGTAGGGCTCTTTTCTTCCCCCTCCCATACATAAAGTAATCTAAAATGAAGAGAAATATGCTCAACAGAAAAGAGTAAGCAGCAGTATAAATTATTCCTTAATCGTAAAACATCACAGTGCAAAGAGACTGCAAATCTAGTAGAAATTTGCAACTTGCTGCACACTTACTTGGATATAAAATCTTCTAAACTCAATTGGTATATTCATAAGTTATCACGCATAGGATTGTACAGATAATCTGATTTGTAGTAGCCTAATTTAACTACATAGTTTAACAAGATTTAAATGTGGGCGTGTTTCTACTGCTCCACTTGGCATTATTGTTTAGTTACCACCATCTGCTCTTAGCTATTTCTTAAATATCGAGATCAAAAAATACCAAGAACTACTGGGAAAAAAATTGACTATTATCAGACTTCTTTAAATTGGCAAAAATAAAACAAATCATGTACATTAGTACACTATCTTAGCACTGAATTACAGATAAAACAAAAATTATTATCAGGATCAGATTTGATAGTTGAAGTCATGAGACTAAATTTCACTTGAACATTAGGAATGCTTTGTAATTATAACAGCAATTGCTACATTCCCACTGAGAATCTCAAGCTCTGCAAGGAGCAGAAAATGGGATTAAATTGACCCTGCCCCACCTTCTTTCATATCCTTCTTAATATGCATTTATAATGGTTTTTAAATGTAATCATGAAAATGTATTTGACAGTTCAATAGTTTTACTTTAGAAATTCATATGCAAGCAATCACCACTCCACTGTATTTCTTCATTTTGTTCTCCAATTTACTTCCTGAAAGTCAAGCCATAATACTGTTTGTTTTTACTAAACTTTACTACATGTATTCTATAATGCAGAAAAAAAATACATCCAAAGCTTTATGTAAGGTATATTGCCTCTTTGCTCATGTACATTCAAGTAACATAGTAAGACCTCATAGTTACTCATATTTTAATAATGCACTCTTAAAATAAAAGGACTTGAGCCCAGCCTATCTTATTTCAATACACCAATACATTTTTCTCTGAACTGAAGCTTTAGTCTGAAATTAGCCATATCGAAGTATGTTATGTTTTCCTCAGGATTTATTCAGGTATTAATTTATCCTCTCTTTGAAGTTGTAATATTAAGTATCCCTGGGCCTTTCTATATAATCACCAATTAGTACAACTACTAAAAGTAGTTAGGCTAGAGTTAAAGGAACTGAGTTACAAAGAAAAAAAGAAACCTCCCCTCGCCTCGCGACTTCGCTACAATGTTGCTATAGTGACCCCAGGCAAGTCACGTGCCATCGTTCGTGACTTGTCCGTTCCATCTCCTTCCGTGCTACAGCAACTCCGGACCCAAGTCGTGACGTTACCATGCCAACTTCCAATCCCACACTGCTGCCTGACCTGAGAATGCGGTTAGGACGCCGCGGATCTGCCATACTGTTGCTAGACATCCCACTGTGCCGCGGGCTACAGTACTGTACTGACAACGGCCTCCTTCGAGGCTGCAGCAACTTCCGCTTCCTTTCAGTGCCGCAGGGGGGATGATTAAGAGTGTAACACCCTCGAGTTTAGGCGCTATTGTTCCGACCTATGAGTCCACGCTTCCCTTGACTCGAACGGCCTTGAAACTAAAATTTCTGGCCGAAGAGGCGGAGGAGGAGGCGGAAGAATGTTGTAGCCCTTCCTTTCTCGCATGAAGAAATTATGCCGAGAGGGGGGTGGAACTAATGAAACTAGATCGGAGGAGTGAATTGACGAGCCGACGCCTGTACTTCCCTATAATCTTTCTTCTTGCTATTTCGTAAGTAGAAGATGCAAGAGGTTACTAAGAAATGTGAACTATTTTCCCACATGAATAGTTCCATGATTGGAGGAGGAGGCGGGCGTGTAGGAAAGAGCTTTAATTTCAATAACTGGCTTCTTATCCACGTACACCATTCGAGCTTTGAAAGGATCCCTGGTACAGCCTACCCCCCGCCCCCACCCCCCGTCCATCCTCTGTCCGATAAAATTCCATTTTGACTATCCGGAGACTCTCCATCGAGTAGCATCGTTTGCTACAGACCAAACGAGAGTCGCAGATCTGAGCTGCGAGTCTCATTTAATGGAAGCAAAAAGAGATTTGGTTAGAATCATTCGTGCCACCTGGCGGTTGTCCGGTTGTTTGTAGCCCAGCCTCAGTCAAAGATCAACCTCAATGTTTCTTCCCCTCCCTGCTTTATCCTGAATTTTGGGTCCTTTTGCCTGAGACTTTTTGGATATTAAAAAGCTGGTGATTTTGTGAATCTTCAATTGGTCTAACAAAAATGGTTCCAGTCCTTACCTCCCTTATTCCAATATAGGTAGTTCTTTATTTACAACAGTTCATTTAGTGACCATCCGAAATTATAACGTCACTGAAAAAAAGTGACTTATGACCATTTTTCACACTTATGACTGTTACAGCATACTCATGGTCATGTGACCAAGAGTTGGATGCTTGGTAACTGGTTCATATTTATGACAGTTGCAGGGTCCCCAGATCACCTGTTGCAGCCTTCTGACAAGCAAAGTCAATGGGGAAGCCAGATTGTTATTAACTTAACAACTGCAATTATTCACTTAACAACTGTGAGAAGAAAAGTCGTAAAATGGGGCAAAACTCACTTAACATAAATTGTGGATTCAATTATGGTCAAGTCAACGACTACTTGTACAGCTGCTGTGTAAGAAAGGCACCATAAAGAACAATTAAGTGTTGGCATAATGCCTAAAGAAGTTAAAGCTGAAAGGTTTTGAAGGAAAAGCATGCTCAACAGACCTTTCTGAAAGTTTAAAGTGACCTAGGCTTAAGAAAACAGACTTGTAACGATAACAAGTGGTGTGAAATCAGAAGATGCAGACAGGTTTCTCAAGAAGACTGGTATGTTGTTATTCAGCAGTTTCCCAAATAGATGTTTTTCATACAATAGGAAGATGTTGCTTCAGCGTAGCAAATGTAGAGTACATGTTTGATTTGGTTTACTAAGTAGCCATTGACTGAAATAATGTATTTTGATTTGTTATTTTTGAAACAAAATTGGTTGCTCAAACAGAGATTGCAACTGACAAATGTTTTCTTTGTGCATTTTATTTTGCAATAAGGTAATGCAATTCAAGAGGCAACAAGTACCCAGAAGCAACATAGTCCTAATGCATCAGCCTGCCTTAGAATATTCCTGTTTCTAGAGATTTTGCTGTGGATGTTCAGTATTATGCATGTGGGATTTTTTTAGCAATCAAGATACATCTGTGTTATGGCCTTTCCAGAACCAAAGCCCAAGAAACCTGAGCTTCCCCAAAAATTGCTTGCTACACTAGAATGTAAACAAGGAGCTATAAGAGCAGTGAGATTCAATGGTGAGTGTATTTTTGATTCTGTAAAATAGGAACAGCGGCTTTCAATTATTAGAACTAGGGAAATCTCGGAAGGAAATATATGTAAAATTAATGGTGTATAAATTTAAGCTTTTAGTAAGTTGTGAACAGATCAAGGAAACAGTTGTACTGATTATTAAAAGATAGCTAGTGAGAGATGTGTCTTGCCTGTTGAGTCAATAAGTTTGAAATTGCAAAATGAATAGTGGAATTTGTGTCATTCTAAGAGAAATGAAACAGACTGTCTTCCAGGGATTCCCTGGAATTTGCTTAGCTGGATAACATTAAATGAGACTTTTCTTTTTCTCAGTGGATGGAAATTACTGTCTCACCTGTGGCAGTGACAAATCACTCAAGCTTTGGAACCCACACAAAAGGACTCTCCTCAAGACGTATTGTGGCCATGGCTATGAAGTCCTAGATGCTGCAGGGTAGGAATTAGGGGAGGTGGATCCACTTTATTAAAAAAAAAAGCTATTTTGAAATACTGAAATACTTTAGGAAAGTTTAAAATAACTGGATTAGATGATGGGAAACAGACTTTGCAAAAGATATTATTTTGGAAAATACAAATAGCGTGTAAAATTCCATAATGAAATAAAAATAAATTAAAAATAATCTTGACGATAATTACTCCATAATGTAAATTAACAAAAATAATTTATTTGAAAAAAATTACTATGAAATTAAAGAATTTAAATTACAATATTATTCATATGTAAAAGTGTGTTTCTGTGAAGTTTGGGTAAGGAAAAAAAGAATGATACAGTAATTGTCCAGGAAATTCTACTCATGTTCATATTTTAAAATCTTGTCCGCTCATTCAAATCTTTTTTGCTGTTAAATTGACTGAAAACTTATATTAAAAACATTGAGAACCTCAGTATATGTTCTGCACATATATAGCTCTTAAAAAGAAAAGTACTCTTGATTTAGATGCTAAGGAAAATCATTTCTCTTGCTTTTCGTATCCCCTTCTTTATCTGTGTTTTCCTTAGGTCATTTGACAACAGCCAACTTTGTTCATGTGGAGCAGACAAAACAGTTGTGCTGTGGGATGTCGCCACAGGCCAAGTGATTCGCAAGTTCCGTGGCCATGCAGGGGTAAGATGTATTTTGTCCTTTGGAGTGCTTAGAAAGTGAGAAGATTCATGTCTTTTTGAAATATGAATTCCTCTGAGAAGATAACAATTATATGTTCTGCTTCTGAGAGTCTCAGAATCCCTGATGTTTTTTTCTGGTTGGCAGAAACCCTTGTGAAATAGAATTGGAGAGAAAAGTTGGATGACATTCAGAATTGTCTGGGATAAGTAAAAAAGTTACTGGAGACATGGATAAAGAAAATGAGATTATAGAAACAGGGATTTGTAATTCTCAGATGAAAAAATACAAGATACCAGTTGATTTGCTGAATGATGAATTATTGGTCTTGTACATAAGAAATGGATGAGAAAGGCTCTGTGTCTCAATGAATTTGCTTAGTATATCTGCCCCAATAGTTCCTGCATTTCAACATATTCTCCCAAAGAAACTTTACAAAAAAGAGAAACCTTTATAAAATGCAATCATTTGCTTGTTCAGCAATTATGTATACCAGTATGCATTTATATGGGCTGTGATACAATGAGCCAATGCTGTAAAGTGTAAGCCTCAGCATGGTCGGTAAGATTCAGTGTCAACATGAACTTTTTTCACAATTAACTTCAGTGATCTCAACATTTTTTGAGGGGAGGTTGGGTTTAAGTTTGTTGAGATTCTAACTAAGACATTGTGAGTTCAGTAGCACATCTGCTATGAAGCACACAGATGTCTTTACCATGTGCCTCCAAAAGCATTTAGCGTGTTGTAGTATTCTAACTTGGAAATATTATTATGACATCTTATTGATTGTTCTTTTCATGAGCATAGTTAAATAGAATATTATTTAAATTTCTGCTCAGTATACTTGTGTAAACCCAATGAATGCACCTATGCACACCTGATACCGAGGTATCTGGCTAAGGATTATAGTGGGTGGCAATAAGTAGGAGTGATTAAAAAAAACTATGGTACTGATGAAGAGAGTAGTTAAGGAAAAGTATAATGCCTAATAGTTATGAAATTATGTAGGAGGTTTGACTAGCTGTGGTGAGGGATGGAACTATGGCTATACAAACATTTAAAGGATGCATTTCAAAGAACATAGATGTGAATAAGGCATCTCTCCTTAAAATTGTTTCGGAGCACATACAGTCAAAATTCTACTGGGACTTTTGGCAAAGCAAAATAGCTCTATATGATAATGCCTGCAGTGACAACCAAGAGAAGATGATGAGCTTCCTGGTGGATATGGTTGCCTCAGCAGTTTGAGAAGAGATGCTTCACTCATGCTAACATATTTTGCCTTCAAATATTTTGCACAGCTATAGAGGAAATAATAATGGAGATAAATATACGGAATTCCAGCTGCTGCCAAAGTTTGCAATAGTTGAAGTGTTAAAGGACAAGGGAATGGGAAAATAATGCAGACTTGTACACACTCCCCAAGCTCAGCTCCCAAGAATAGAAAGTTAAATATAACTTAAGAATAGCAAGCCCTAATCTTTTTATATTCTCTTTTTTTCCCTACTGGACAGAAGGTGAATTGTGTCCAGTTCAATGAGGAAGCCACTATAATTCTTTCAGGTAAGAAATAATCTTGCCTTCTGTGTTGCTTCTAGATTGTTCATCCTAGCCTTTCTTTAGCCTGTCTCTTTACTTTCCTGCAGGTTCCATTGACTCCAGTGTCCGTTGCTGGGATTGTCGCTCACGTAGACCAGAACCCATCCAAATCTTGGATGAGGCCAAAGATGGCATCTCCAGTCTGAAAGTCTCAGATTATGAAATTCTTACAGGGTAAAGGAGAATAGGATGAAGCTTGAATTAGAAAAGGCATATTTGATGCTTTGCTAAGTCCAGAATAGACTTTAGAGAAGATGTTAAATATTTTCAACCTTTCCATGTCTGATTTCATTTTTTAAAAATAATTTCTCCCCCTTTGGAACTGAATCTAAAACTATGTGTCAATTTTTGTTAAAATATGAGTAGAACGAACAAACGTGCACAACTGAACTGGAAATTTTCATAAGTTCATAATCCAAACTCACAGCAAGTATGATACAAGGACATACATGGCTTGTGAAGAAATATTTTTGAAGTGCATAGTTTGCGACTTCGGGGTCAGAGCGTTCTCTTAACAACGTTGCTCTGTTGTTTCCCAGTGCTGTGGATGGATGTGTCCGACGTTATGACCTCCGTGCTGGAGAACTCTGCTCAGACTACATTGGAAGTAAGTTTCATATATTGATATCTGCTAAACTGAATGAGGTGAAAACCACATTTTTGAAGATGTCACTTTGTTGTGGGATATGATGCCTTTACTTGTCTTGTGCTTGACAAGTAACTCATGTTTTTTCATCTTCTGTTTGGTAGATTTCCACCAGGTTCAAACTGAAAAGTGTCTGCAAGGACACCAATTGTATCTTCAGGCTTGCATCCACATTTGATGATTATGTACCATCATCTCATATAACCATTGCCACTGTTGACTCATAGATTTTCTCAATGTTAGATCCATATACTCCTAGACAATAGTTAGTAGTACTTGGCATAATACTTGCAAGCCACTACACCCTCCCTTTTCTTTTTGAACAGGTTCTCTCCTCTTCATGCACATAGACCTTTATATCCACTGCATGAAGCAATAACATCCAACATTGCCATGTTTTCATTATAGGTCCCATTACCTGTGTATGTTTCAGCAAGGATGGGCAATGCACACTGGCTGCTAGCTTGGATTCTACACTGCGATTGCTGGACAAGGATACAGGCGAGCTACTAGGAGAGTAAGCAGACACTTTTCATTGTTAACTGTAATGCTTCCTTTAGCAGTTAGACTAAGGTTAACTCCAGCTATTCCCAGTATAGAAGTATGAATTCATGCTAATGAGCAAGATGCAATTGCTTTAAATGGTGCTTTTTTTTTGTAAAAAAAAAAAAGTGCTGGAACTCAAACATAGTTCCGGCTCCAGTCGAAAACCCTTTACGGAGCCGGGGGGGGGGGAGAAGAAACCACTTTAGGGAGCTTCTGAGGCGCAGATCACTCATCTGGAAAAGGTCTGTCTCCTCTCTTCTGCAGTTCTTGCTGCTGCTCCAATCTGAGGCCAGGGAATGTGTCCACAACTCCCTGTGGCCCATTCTGGGCTCCGTAGGCCTGGAAAAAACCTCCAGAGGCTTGAAAAAGGCCTTTAGTGCCTGGATCGGGCCGCTGGGGACCCGCAAAATCGCTCCACGGCCATGGATCCGGGCTCCAGAGGCTTAGAAAAGGCCTCCGGAGCCGAGATCGGCGGTGGAGGGGGGTTGCGAAATAAGAGGCCTTTTTCAGGCCTCCGGAGCCTAGATCGGGCTACTGGGGGTCCGCAAAATCGCTTTGCAGCCATACCTGTACTCGCGCTGGCACCTTAGAAAGAACCAGTTCTTCCGTTCAAAAAAAAGTGCCAGAACGCCGTACTGTGCGTTCTATGACAAAAAAAGCCCTGGTTTTAAATGTACATAAATATTTTATACACATATTGACATTTTCCCTTCATTATTGAATTAAGGAAAAATGTATTTATGCAATAGATTTTAATGTATATAGTAAAGTTCTTCTATGGCTATGAATAATTTTATGTCCAATTTTGTAATGGTGTTTTTTTTTAATTAACTTCGTATTCACCTAAGGATTGATAGCAACTTCCGGCGGGTTGATGGGGAAGTCTTCCAAAATGGTCAGGAGTAATCTACTTATTCTCCCAATTGTATCTCCAGCTACACCGGCCACAAGAATGTCACTTACAAGATGGACTGCTGCCTGAGTGAAAGAGACACACATATTGGGAGCTGCTCAGAAGATGGGAAAGTCTATTTCTGGGATTTGGTTGAGGTGAACAAGATTGGCTGGGAAAATCAAGGGCTTTCCTTTGAAGCAGTCATTTGACTTTTTAGTCAGCCAGTCATTGGGGTGTAACCAAAATTCTACTTGGTTGGAAAAGCCAGGTTTTTTTTCTAGAAACAAAGCAAGCCACCCCTCTTTTCCCAGCACCCATTAATAATCAGTAGGAAACAGACATCTAAATTGGGAACAGAAATAGCAATTGTTTTTATTTATTTGTTTCATTTGGTCTTACTTAGTTGTTTAAATGGATCTATTACAATATAATCAGGAAAGTAGCAAGATCAATGCAGATTTTTAATCAAAGAGGTAAATAACACTTGACATAAGTAATCCAGTTATTATATTTGAAGTTCATAAGTCAAGCATTTCTGTGCAAGCTTATTTGGCTTGAAGCTAAGTGCCTGGCTTACATCTGTAAAAGGTGAATACTGTTTATTTCTATCCTTGAGTTAGGTAGCATTTCTTTCAATTCAAATTATCAAATGTGGTCAATTTCTTCTTCATATAATTCATATAAAATAACTGGCCTTGCTAGTGGTTTATCCTAATCCCTTGTCCAATTTTCTTTAAGCTCATGCCGGTTAATGAGAGGATATTGTCACAAGCTGTGCTGGAAGTCAGATTTTCCTCATACCTGCTTATGTGGTGCTGACAGTTGTGCAAATAATGTATTTGTAACAACAACAACAACAACAACAATAATATTGGAAGAGATCTTGGAGGTCATCTAGTCCAACCTCTTGCTCAGGCAGGAAACCCTATACCATTTCAGACAAATGGCTGTCCAGTCTCTTCTTAAAAACCTCCAGTGTTTGAGCATTCACAGCTTCTGGAGGCAGGTTGTTCCACTGGTTAATTGTTCTAACTGTCAGGAAATTTCTCCTTAGTTCTAGGTTGCTTCTCTCCTTGATTAGTTTCCATCCATTGCTTCTTGTCCTGCCTTCAGGCGCTTTGGAGAATAGCTTGTCTCCCTCTTCTTTGTGGCAGCCCCTGAGATATTGGAACACTGCTATCATGTCCCCCCTCGTCCTTCTCTTCATTAAACTAGACATACCCAATTCCAGCAACCGTTCTGTCAGACCCAGCGTGAGACCTACCTGCGTGTAGAAGAGGTATGGTACCCGAATCTCCGTACAGCGCTCCAAGCAGCCGGCGACGGGAATGAATTGCTGCCGGCGCTTACACAGTGACGAACGGCCCATGTGACTAATTACCGTGCCGACGGAGAGAACGGGCTAGACCGGCATTATGCAAGATGGACATACTAACATAGGACGCTGGGTCTGACAAGTTGTGGTTGCTGGGAAGGGGGGCGGGGTGGAGGCGCGGTACAGGTGAGGGCTGTAATCTACGAGGATAATCAGGGTGATTGGGGCATACACGGTGGGTGTGGTGATCGGGTTATTTAGGACGCGGGGAAGGGGTGTGTCCCAGAGCTGGTTTTGTTTTCAACGGAGAAATAAACCTTTGTTGACTACCGCAACGTACCTGGTGGATCGTTTGCTTCATACGCCGGCAGGACGTTCTTATAGTAAACCAGCTCTCACTTCTTGCCCCTTGCGCGGTCGGCTGGTGCTGCGGAGTTATGGCCGAGGGAACACAGGAGGAGGACCCGATTAGTGGCAAGGAGCCTACAGAGGCCGACGAGCAGTTGGAGAGCCCGGACACTGGAGTCGAGGGGGAGGAGCAGCCGGCGGTGCGCCCGAAAGAGAGGGGACGTGTCCCTGCGGCTGTGGAGCCAGGAACCAGACGGCGCAAGCCTACGCTGGGAGAGGGCGAGTGGTGGCTCGGTTCAGCCGCAGGTCTCCCGGAGGATGGTAGGGGGCGGCGGCTGGCACCCAGTTTCGCCGGCTGGAGGGAACGCCGGATGACCGGAGATGACGAGGAGGACTGGAGCTGTTCCACAGCTCCAGGACAATATACGTTAGAGGTCCTTAGGGAACAATTCGGGGAGCGTATCTATCTAGCTACCATGCGCAGCCCCGTTAAGGATAGCACCCCGTATGTGCCCCGCTTTCAAATGGCAAGCCCGGAGTTTAAACTACCGCCAGGGGGTCGTTTCACACTACGGGACCCGGTGGCAAGGCAAACCGGAACCGAGCGCCCACGGTATGGACTGGACACACGGGGAGTGCGGCCTCCACCGGAGGGGCCGGACGGGGATGGGGCGGACTCCCTGGGAGCGGGATCCCGTCCTATAGCGCATCCAGGGATGGGTCCATATGGCGGTCAGGTGCCGGCTCCATGGCCTCAGCAGGTGATGTGGAATCCTCCACCCATTTCCCTCACGTTCGACGGGGATCCGGACCGTCTGGCGGTATTCCTTAGCCATGTACTGAACCATCTGGATCGTTATACAGCCCTGTATTCGTCCAACTGGGCAATGGTGGTAGCGGTCACTGCGGGTTTGCAAGGAGAGGCCGCTGCTTGGGCCGCAGACCTATATAGCGACCAAGCCAGGGAGCTAGCCGATGTAGGCCTTTTCCTCGATGCACTGAAAACGAGGTTTGAGGACCCAACACGCCAGCTACGGGCTGAGGCCCAGTTGGTGGGATTGCAGCAAAAGGGTAGACCAGTACAGGAATACATTCGCGAGTTCCAAAAGGTGGCAGGGAGACTCAGGTCATGGCCAGACAGCTTGCTAATCCACCACTTCCGCACTGGCCTGGATACCACCATCTGCCACGCATGTATAGTCAGGGGAGTGGTGGGACGTCTAGCCGACTGGTATAGGGCAGCGGTAGAGTTGGATGTCGGGCTGAGGGATCATCCCGGAAGGCGGGAGGATAGGCCCCGCCGAAGTCAGGATCAGCCCGTGGGTGGTACCACGCAGACCGTGCCGGGAACGGTACGTTCGAGGCCTACCTTCAGATGCTTCCGCTGTAACCGGCCGGGTCATCGAGCCGCGGAGTGTGGAATACCCAAGCCAACAGGTACACCTACGGCGATTGGTACACCAGGGGTCACGCCAAAGAGACCAGCAGAGAAATCACGGGTTGCCTACCAACTGGGACAGTCGCAGGTCCAGCAAAAACCCGATGAGGCGTCCCCTATATTGCAGGAGTACGAGGAGGAAGAGCCGGTGGAGGATCCAATGGTGAGTGAACCCATCGTCCCCTTCACCATCCCGATTACATTGACAAGCCCGGTTACGGGTGAGTTGATGCCCTTTTCGGCATTACTGGACACAGGGTGCACAAGGTGCCTAATCAGTAAGGGAGTGGTGCAACAGATGCGGATCAGGGTGGCCCGATTAAAATCCCCGATTCGTTTTGAACAAGTGGATGGCTCTCTGTTGGGAGGGGTCCCGACTACATTGGTGACGGAGCCTGTTAGAATGGATATAGGGGGTCATTGGGAACTTATACGCTTCATAGTTGTTCCCACTATGTCCGAGTCTGTCATTTTGGGATTAGCGTGGATGGATAAGTGGACACCCACGATCTGGTGGGCGGAGGGATCCAGACACCTAAGGCTAGCAGTGGGCCCTCAACCGCGGCCGCCGGATGACCAGATTAGGGGTAAAGAGTTAAACTCCTCAAAACCGGTACAGGAGAAGGGCGAGGTTCAATATCCACAGGTATATGATGACCTCGCGGCTGTGTTCAGCGAACGGGAGTGTGACTGTTTGCCACCTCACCGACGGACAGATTGTGCAATCGAACTCGCTCCTGGGGCCAAGTTGCCTAAACCCAGAATGTACCCTATGACATTTGCAGAATTGCAAGAATTGAGAAAGTACATTGATAAGAACTTGGCTAGGGGCTTTATAGAGCCAGCACGTTCGAGGATAGCAGCCCCAGTCATATTCCAGGGGAAAAAGGACGGGGGATTGCGATTGTGTGTAGACTTCCGAGGCCTGAACGCTGTGTGCATAGACCAGGTTTATCCCCTGCCGCTTATGAAAGACCTACTTACCCATTTGGCAGCTGGGAAAATCTTTACAAAACTAGACCTCCGTGAGGCATACTATAGGGTACGCATCAAAGAAGGGGATGAGTGGAAAACAGCGTTCAACTGTCCCCTGGGTAGCTACCAATTCAAGGTGATGCCTTTCGGATTACAAGGAGCGCCGGCTGTATTTATGCAGCTGATCAACGAAGTGTTGCATGACCATCTATATAGAGGTGTCCTTGTATATCTGGATGACATACTGATCTACTCACAGACGTTGGAAGACCATGTGCAATTAGTACGGACAGTACTGCGAAAATTACTGGATGCCAATTTATACTGTAAGTTGTCGAAGTGCGAGTTTCACAAGACTAGGATTGACTATTTAGGGTTCAGAGTCTCCGCTACAGGAATAGAAATGGATCCTAGTAAAGTTCGCAGTGTCTTAGAATGGCAGGCCCCAAGGACCCGTCGTCAACTGCAGAGATTCTTGGGGTTTGCCAATTTCTACCGGCAGTTCATCCCCTCGTTCGCCGACGTGGCCCTACCATTAACCCAACTGTTACGCACCAAAACCACGACCGGCAAACCTCACCCTAAACAAGCATTAAATTGGACTGTGGACTGTCAACGGGTCTTTGAGTCGCTAAAACGACTATTTGCAAAGGAACCAGTGTTATTACACCCCGACCCGAGTAGACCATATGTGGTGCAAGCCGACGCCAGTGATGTGGCCGTCGGAGCACTTTTGATGCAACGTAACGGACAGGGCGAATTGCAACCGTGCGCATATACCTCCAAAAAATTTACCGACCCAGAGCGACGGTGGGCGGTGTGGGAGAAGGAGGCATTCGCGATAAAATGGGCATTATCCACCTGGCGCCACTTATTGGAAGGTGCACAGCACCCCTTCGAGGTGTGGACGGACCACCGGAACCTAATGGTCCTCCAGACGCCGAGGAGATTGGCGCCAAAACACGTTCGATGGGCACAGTATTTTCAGCGTTTCAGATTTAGCCTGAAGGTAGTACCCGGAGGGAAGAACTTCTTAGCAGATGCGCTCTCACGGCTACCACAATATGATAGTAAAAAGGAACAAGTGATCCAAACTATTATGCCGATATGTAGTATGGATCCCGCGCAGACGGAGGGATGTGCAAAAGTGGCAACGCTGGAGGAGGAATTGCAGTCAGTATTGGTGACCGATCCCTGGTTGCAAGCGAATCCCGGATTGTTAACCCATCGTGATGGATTGGCCTGGTATCGGAATAGGTTATACATTCCCCCGGAATTGCGTCATCAGGTATTTCACCAATGTCACGACTCCAAGGTGGCAGGTCATTTTGGATTTGTAAAGACGCTCCACCTGGCGAGACGCCGGTTCTGGTGGCCTAGCCTACGGAAGGATATTGAGCGGTATGTCAAGGAATGCCATATATGTGCACAAGCTAAAGATGTACCGAAGAGACCGATGGGACTGCTACAATCGGTGTCTAACCCAGTTCGGCCCTGGCAGGACATCGGGATGGACTTCCTCGTTGAGTTACCAAATGTCAGGGGTTACACGGTCATATGGACGGTTGTTGATTTATTCTCGAAACAAGCACACTTTGTCCCCTGCAAGGGGTTGCCGTCTGCGAGGAAGTTAGCAAAATTGTTTGTGCAACATATTTATCGATTACATGGAGCACCCCGTCGGATTATTTCCGACCGGGGCGTTCAGTTCACAGCCCAATTCTGGCGTCAATTCCTCGCGAGCATCGGAACCACACAAGGACTGAGTTCCGCATACCATCCTTGTACCAATGGGGCGGCGGAACGGGCTAACGCAGCGATTTCACGATATCTACGATCGTATGTATCTTACCAGCAGTCGGATTGGATAGATTTCGTGCCGTTCGCAGAGTTAGCGTATAACAACGCAGTACATAAAAGCACCGGGTTAACCCCCTTTCAAGTAGTTTACGGATACGACCCAGTTCCGCTGCCTGGGGGCGAGTCACCGGGAGACTTGAACCTACAGCCTGGAGACTGGATGTCCCATGCAGGCCAGGTGTGGGGTACAGTAAAAAAGGCCTTACAGCAAGCAGAAAGGATAGCGAAAGAGCAGGCTGACAAAGGTCGTAGAATACCAATGCAACTAAGAGTGGGTGATTGGGTGTACCTATCAACCAAATATGTTAAGTTACAGGTACCATGCAAGAAGCTAGCGCCAAAATACATTGGGCCCTTCCGCATAGTACGCATCATCAATCCTGTTACGGTGCAGCTTCAGTTGCCGGAATTGCTTGGTAAGATACACCCAGTATTCCATGTGAGTTTGTTGAAGCCTGTAGAGGGGGACACCTACAACAAACCTCCCCCAGGACCCATTGCCCCGGGAAGGTATGAGGTACAAGACATACTAGATTCTCGGTGGCGGAGGGGCAACCTGTATTACCTGGTGTTATGGAAGGGATACCCCTTATCCGAGGCATCCTGGGTACGGGAGGAGGATGTTTCCGCCCCTGCCCTCACCCGTCGATATCACAGGATGTGGCCGCACAAGCTAAGGGACCGGGGGATAGGTGACACGCCCACGATGGCCAGATAATAGACGTAATTGTTCATGTTCCATTTCAGGGGGCTCTATGGTGAGGGGGAGCCGAATGTCAGACCCAGCGTGAGACCTACCTGCGTGTAGAAGAGGTACGGTACCCGAATCTCCGTACAGCGCTCTAAGCAGCCGGCGACGGGAATGAATTGCTGCTGGCGCTTACACAGTGACGAACGGCCCATGTGACTAATTACCGTGCCAACGGAGAGAACGGGCTAGACCGGCATTATGCAAGATGGACATACTAGCATAGGACGCTGGGTCTGACAAGTTGTGGTTGCTGGGAAGGGGGGCGGGATGGAGGCGCGGTACAGGTGAGGGCTGTAATCTACGAGGATAATCAGGGTGATTGGGGCGTACACGGTGGGTGTGGTGATCGGGTTATTTAGGACGCGGGGAAGGGGTGTGTCCCAGAGCTGGTTTTGTTTTCAACGGAGAATTAAACCTTTGTTGACTACCGCAACGTACCTGGTGGATCGTTTGCTTCATACGCCGGCAGGACGTTCTTATATGTTCCTTGTATGTTTTAGTCCCCAATTCCCTCATCATCTTTGTTGCTCTTTTCTGTACTCTTTCTATAGTCTCAACATCTTTTTTACATCGAGGTGACCAAAACTGGATGCAGTATTCCAAGTGTGGCCTTACCAAGGCATTGTAAAATGGTATTAACACTTCATGTGATCTTGATTCTATCCCTCTGTTAATGCAGCCTAGCACTGTGTTGGCTTTTTTTGGCAGCTGCAGCACACTGCTAGCTCATATTTAAATAATTCTCCACTAGGACTCCAAGATCCCTCTCACAGTTACTACTATTGAGCAAGGTATCACCTATACCAGGGGTGTCAAACTCGTAATGTCACATGACGTGTCACGACGTATCGCAACTTTTTTTCCATTGCCGGCAATGGGATGGGCACGGTTTCGGCATGACATATCCAGCCTGCGGGATGGCAGTTTGACACTCCTGATCTATACGATACCTGTGGATTTGGTTTTTCTTGCTTAATCTCTGTCTTATGTAGGTTTTGTGACCCATGTAGCTACATTTTGTCCTTTTCTCCTCTACAGGGCTCCCTTGTTCTGACCTTGCCAGTGTGCAATACTGCTGTCCAGTCACTGTCCTTCCACCCAGTTGAAACCTGCCTGCTCACTGCTGCAGGGGGTCTTGTTCAGTGTTGGAGAGAAGAATCTTATACAGCCGAGGAAGGTGTGCCTGCATGACTAGCATTGCCGTCTGAGCAAGATTGCAGATACAGGATGATGGACTTCTCCGATACACTTCTCTTACAGTTCTATGAGTATAGTTCTATGTACTTTGCTTTCAGGAGGAAAGATGGGGCATAATTTGGACTCAGCTTCTTCTATAGAAGCAGCCTGACTGAATGCTGTCCTTGAGCTCAAAAAGGGCTCAAAGGTTTCCTTGCTTTAGGTGACAATATTTTTAAATTCAGCCTATGTATTACAGACATTAGTCAAGGAAAAGGTTTCTTTTTTAAAATTGAGTGTTTCTGGATTAGAAAGAAATAACAGTTTAAATGGTACGTGGGCATTGTTTTATTGTAAGTTTTTGTGGCTCAGATGCTTAAACTACATAAACACTAGTTCTGATTCTTCACTTGAACAAATACATGAATTTAAATTGTCACTGTAAAAAAATTAAGTAATTTTGAAAAAAAAATATATAAGTTTGCTTTCTGACCCTTAGATGTTTACCTGTTTAAAATTGCAGGAAAAATATCTTGATTGCTGATGTTCAGAAGTGTTCAGACGTCACTGGTCACGTCTGCTTGGTTAGTCAACTGCTACGTGCATGTCTTCTTAATTTTGCACCTGAATAGGAAAAAAAGCCTTAATGTTACCAATTGTTAATGACAGTTATTGAAGAAAATGTTTTTAAAAGGCTATTGTCCTGGAAAGTTCAAATGTAACTTGAACTTTTCTAGGGAGCTCATCCTCCTTCAATAGAAATATAGTATTTTTTAAATTGGATGTTTATGAATTCAAAATGAATTATATACTGTTCAGCAGTGAAGAATTCAGACTGAATCTCAGAAATGAAAGAGAATGGTATGAACAGATCAAGTTACTATTTTCTTGGGAGTATATTTACTGCTTTTGGATTCAAACAACTGAAGCCAGAATTGTATACGTGCTAAATAAATTAAAAATTCCCTCCCAGAATTACTACATTTTAACTCTTGCACTAGTTATGTATAAATAAGTAGAAACATATTTTTTTCTTGTGGGAATGTATCACACAGCATCCACAGGTATCTCCTCCTGTGGCTACCTGCATTTAAAAGTACGTTTTAACAGCCCACTCAGATGCTTAATTAGTTTAAACTGTTGTTACATGTTCAATGGGCCTTTGAGAAGACAGATGTCTTTCCCTAGGTTGCCTCTGCATTAAAATGGATTGAATCGGGGGGTTTTCTGCTTTTGTTGTTCGGATCCAAAATGCTTTTCTATAGAAAGAAAAATAAAATTATAAGAAATAGATGTGTTCTTACTGAAGTGTTCATATCTCATATTCATACCACTCTCTCCTGTTTTTAAAGAAAGCAGTCCAGCAACTTAAGGTCAGTAAAGTATTTCTGTGTCAGTTATTGTGGTTGCTGTAATAAAAAATACTTCAAGTATCTAACATTTAGTCTTCCTTAATTTCATGCCTTTAAAATATATTGGAGTTACAACTGTTACCAACCCCAGATAGCATGACTAATCTGAAAGGCACCAGTTGAGGAAGGCCACTAGAAAAAAAAACTGCAAAATGCAAAAGTATGCGTCAACACTGCAATACTACTACATCTAGATACCTTAATGCAGTGGTTCTCAACCTTTCTAATGCCGCGACCCCATAATACATTTCTCCATATTGTGGTGACCCCCAACCACTTACACATCACCGGGTGCCAGGGGCATGGCCAAAGAAAAGGGGGAAAAATGGCAGACAGCTTTGTTTGGTGACCCCCGTGAAATGGTCATTCGACCCCAAATGGGGTCCCGACCCACAGGTTGAGAACCACTGCCTTAACGCTAAATAAAATTTACAGATATTCTTTACTCCTGATAAGATGATGAACAAAATGCAGCAATCAACTGTTCTGGGTGAGAAAGAAAATTCTTATTTTGTGGTTATCTTATTTCATAAATATTTTTTTCTTCCATTCAGTCATGTCCAATTCTTGGAGACTGTCTGGAGAAGTCCCTGCAGTTTTTTTGGCTAGGTTTGCCATTGCCTTCCTTCCTAGGCCAAGGTCACTCAGCTACCTTTGTGCCTAAGACAGGACTAGAACTCATAGTCTCTTGAGATTTTTTTATATGGAATATCTTTTCTACATTTTTAAAAGGTTACTTGCTTAAACAAGCTTCATAGTTATGTACGGAACCATCTCTGGGTTGCTTATATTCTACTTAATTTCTACAGTTAATGCCACAGATCGGTTCTTACGAGTCTTAGTAGACAGCTGAACAGAGAGATGGAATGCAATCAGATTTCCCCAAGTGAGCGATTTAGTAATTGCATCATATCCTGTGGGATCATGTGTTCTCCCATATTGCTTAAACTGACTTTACAGGTTTGGGAACCAAAACTGTCTGTTGCTGAGTCAATGCATGATACACAAAGGATTAGTTGGAATACAAGATGATAGTAGGTGTGACAGAGACACCAGGCATTCAATTAATTTGAAATTATTTTCTCTGCTGCATAGTCATAGTGGCAGAGCTTCTATGCGGTTTGTTTTGGTGTCTCAGAGTACTTGGATTAAGCAAATAAATGGGGTGAAATCAACACATTCAGTTTCTCAAGTTAAGCAAATAACACAGAACAGTGATATAACTGGTACTCAAATCTCTGGATTGAGTTCAGGTTATCTCAGTGTTTTGAGCCCCTAGTGCTGCACTATGGCTCAAATAGTATAAGCTAATGGCAAGTGCCCTGAGAAGCAATGAGCCTTCTGAAGTCAACATAAAGGAAACACTAGTTATTATAAGATATGGATTAAGAAGCAGGCAAAAATGTCATGGATAAAAATAACAAGTTTATTTCCAAATTTGCTCGGGTTAATTGGCTTAAAATACTCTTTCCTTTTGGGGGGGAGAAAAAAATACTGTCAAGGCAAAACAGAATTTCAGGGGAAGATGGTGCATTGAAGAAGTTTCAGCAAAAAATTGATGTTTGCGGTCATTTATAAGTAGTTTATTACTAGACCAGCTGCTACGATCCTCTCTGGATAAGAGAGATGTCAGATCACCCAACCTGTGTTTCCTTATTATTGATCTTCACAAAGAGAGTACAAAAAGAAAGGGGAAAATTGGGAGATGGGGAAATTCTGCAAATGGCATGGTTCAAAGGACACTTAAGTTTGTGCAATTCCCTTGCTAACCACTCTTGGAAATTGCTTATTAACTGCTTCAAGGAAGTTGGATGTCTTCAAAGTGGCAAGGCAGTAAAAATCAGTAACATAAGAAAATGAAGATTTATTTTTATAAAGTTAAAGAATTTAACAACAGAATGTTTTGGCTACAGAAAGGGTTGGAATATTATATTTTGAATATGAAGACTTCAAAATTATTTTTAAAGAGAAATGCATGTTTGTGGGAAATAATTTATTATGACATTTAGGGATATCTTTGAGCAACTCCACCAGGAATTGCACTGAGACTTTGAATCAATTATGTCAGCTATTTTGTGCCTTTTTGGCTGTCTCCAGATGTTATAGAACATGATATTTATTTTATTTTAAATATTTAAAAACCTCACCTTTTATCATTTTTATATAGTAACTCAAGACATTGAATATACCTTATACTCTTTCTATCGCTTTTCACCAAAACAACCCTCGTGAGATAAGTTGGCTTGAGAGAGAGAAACTAGCTCAAAGTCACCCATCCTGAGATTTTGCAACAACTAGTATATCTAGATATGCAACAAGCTCCACTTGAGAACAATATGAGTGACACTCCAAATAAATATGTGTCAATGCTGCTAACATTGGGTGTTATTGCTTTGACAACAGATGGAAATGCATTCATTTCTCTCTTTTGCTTTTAGAGCTGATTGATGCTGGGAGAGGGAATGTGGATGAGAGTCCAGTTAATCATAACAATTTCAAGTCGTGGGAATTCAAGGTTACTGAGCCCAGAGCTAATAACGATTTGGCTGGCGGAATGTGATTTATGAGTGTTAGTTGGAGGAGGGAATTGTGCTTTGCTACTTTGTGCCAAGGGGAGGGGAATTCAGTTTTTGGCTTCAATTATGCTTCTTGAATAAAAGATTCTTTAAGGTAAACAATGCCTCAAACTTCTTTTGAAGAGTTTCATCTGTCGGAATCATGACACTCCACTTGAGAACAATAAATAACAATAAACTCCAAATAAAAATGTGCCATAAGATGTAAAGAGAAAATTGTGAGAAGTTTTAAAAATTATGAAGGAAAAATATTGACAATCTTAGGGCACAACTGGAATAATAATTCTCTTTTTTTTGCTGGATTTACAAGAGACTGCTTAAAAGTACCGTATTGAAGAACTTTGTAGTAAGTTCTGTGGTCAACAACTATTGATCAGTGTCAAAATGGGACATGCTGTCATTTTGGGTAGTTCTGTTTGTATGTGCTGATGATTGGAAAAATGTGATATACTGGATTAGCTTATATAGTGTTTAAACCATTAACTTTATAGCCATTTTATGTATCCTAATTTTTTAGCATTTAAACACTTTGTATCTAATATGTGGATTTTTTTTTTGAAGGAAAACTATTTTTTTGTTATGTTAAATTCTAGTTGTTTGTTTATATTAGGATCCTGGAAATACTTTATTTTGTTAATAGTTTAGAATTGAGATATGGAATGTTTATTTGAAAGGACATATTGTTAGTTTAGGCAAGTTATCTCTGGAATTGTTGACATTTGGAATGGGAAAAATATTGTATATTGGAATGTGTCTTAAAAAAAATAAATGGACTTTTTGTAATATTAAACTTTAGGCTTTGTTTATTGACACTAGATCAGATTGACTATGTGCTCTGTAGCCAAAGATGGAGAAGCTCTATACAGTCAGTAAAAACAAGACCAGGAGCTGACTGGCTCAGATCATGAGCTTCTCATTGCAAAATTTAGGCTTAAATTGAAGAAAGTAGGGAAAAGAACTAGGCCACTCAGATATGAACTAAATCATATTCCTGATGAATATTCAGTAGAGGTGACAAATAGATTTAAGGAATTAGAGCAGATAGACAGAGTGCCTGAAGAACTATGGACAGAGGTTTGCAACATTGTACAAGAAGTAGCAACTAAAAAGATCCCAAAGAAAAAGAAATGCAAGAAAGCAAGCTGTCTGAGGAAGCTTTGCAAATAGCTGAGGAAAGAAGGGGAAACAAAAGGCAAAGGAGAAAGATACACCCAATTGAATGCAGAATTCCAGAGAATAGCTAGAAGAGATAAGAATACCTTCTTAAATGAACAGTGCAAAGAAATAGAAGAAAACAACAGAACAGGGAGGACCAGAGATCTTTTCAAGAAAATTAGAGATATGAAAGGAACGTTTCATGCAAAGATGGGCATGATAAAGGACCATAATGGCAGGGACCTAACAGAGGCAGAAGAGATTAAGAAGAGGTGGCAAAACTACACAGAAGAACTATACAAGAACGATCTTAACGTCCCAGATAAGCACGATGGGGTGGTCACTGACCTCGAGCCAGACATCCTAGAATGTGAAGTGAAATGGGCCCTAGGAAATCTGAGCAACAACAAAGCTAGTGGAGGTGACAGCATTCCAGCTGAGCTATTCAAAATCTTAAAAGACGATGCAGTAAAAGTGCTACACTCAATTTGCCAGCAAATTTTGAAAACTCAACAGTGGCCACAGGATTGGAAAAGGTCAGTTTACATTCCAATTCCAAAGAAAGGCAATGCCAAAGAATGTTCAAACTATTGCACCATTGCACTCATTTCACATGCTAGTAAAGTTATGCTTAAAATCCTACAAGCTAGAGCTTCCGCCGGGGAGCGACGTTGATGGCGGCTACCTTGTAGCCGTCCTCCTGGGACGGCGTTAGATCCGCAGTGTGCAGCGAAAATCAGCTGGCCCGCGGCTCGGAAATCCCCTTCCCGGGCGAAGGGAAGGGGCAGAGATTGCAAGAATAGAGGTAGAACCTCTTAGCCCCCTCTGGATTTTTCTTTTGAGGGGACAGAAAGAGCGTTCCCTCGGAGTTCCTGCTTTCTCCACCTCCCAGCTGTTTTTGCCTCTTCGGAGACAAAAGGAAACGCCGCTACCAGCTCCGCGCTTAAAGTGTTCTGGTGAGTAATTTTTAAAGTGGACAGAGCAGTTTAAAGGATTTTTTTTTAGTTTAGTATTTTATTTTAAATTTTTCTTTTTAGTTGACTCTGATTCTTTTGTCTCTTTTTTGCTGGTACGGAAAGTGAAAGTAAGATGGCGTTTTGAAAGTACTTTGTTCTTTGTTCTTTTGTTCTTTATTTTTTTTTCCCTGGAAAGACAATATGGACTTAAATGAATATATTTACTGCTTCTAATTTTCTCCTTTATCTTTTGATTGTGTTTTGGATACTTTTCTTGGCTTTTTTTAAACTTTAAGAATTTTAGTATTTTTTTTTCCTTTTTTTTTGTCTCCTCTTTCC